ATTTTTGTCTGATGGAATCTTCCAGGTGGACTCCCAAGCCCTTTTGACATGACCTTAGGAAACTTCCATAGCTTCCTTCCTATCTGGTCTATCAAGATGTTTCACTCTACATTTCCTGTCCCAAAGTTGGGATCAAATTTCTCCAGGGAACTCTGGTTTCTTTTCATGAGAAATAGGATTTCAATACAGCAATCTAAGTGCTAAGAGAGCTCGTGGCTGCTGCCTCCTGTCTGGCCCTCCTCCAAGTCTGCTCTACGTGGTGGAGAATTTCCAGACTCCCCGTGCTGCCAGCCAGGACCACTCAGGGCCTGGCCCAGCTGCCCTTTGGCCTCACCTCCCACTGTTCCTGGCCTCGGGGCTTCATGCTCCAGCCATCTAGAGTGACCACTGGCCCTGCTTACAGCACACTCCTATTTCACTTTTCTTTGATTTTTTTCACTTTCATCTTCCTTGTCAAAAACTGTCAAGAGTCAGAGAGTTTACCCCACCTGCATGTTAACAAGGTCACCTGCCACAGTTTCACGGGTGCTGGCAGGAGAGACGAGACTCTTGGGACGGAGATGAGCGACTTCGTTTCTTCCGGTACCCAGTGCATGAGTTTCATGCTTTGACTCCCTCTGCCTGCTGAGTGCCCCGAGGGGGACGCAGGGGTGGGCCCTGCTGGATGCTGTGCACACAGTGGGGTCTGGGTCAGGCTGAGAAACCTCGAGCTTAGGAAGAAGAAGGCTGTGAGCAAACCTGTCCAGGTTTTGCCCTGGGGGAGACACTTATCTCCCAAGGTAAGAGCCATCATTTTAGTCTCTTAAGGAAAAATGCTGCCCTCTTTCCAGGAGGGAGAAACTGTCTTTATCCTCCAAGGCTGTTCAGATACTCTTCAGAAGACAGTGTGGAATAAAAGCTGTCAGTGACTCTTCACCAGACACGCAAGAGACCCATGGAGAATTCCAGAAAGCTTCTTTTCCTGGTCAGCTCCTTATCCTATGACACCCAGCTCTGCAGGGAGCCCTCTGCTTCATCCAAGTGGGTTACATGCCCTCCACTCCCTCAGGCCCCCAGATGTCCCGCTCTGACTGCAGTCACCACACTGGTCACATTAAACTGAAAATCTGTGTCTGGCTCACAGCCCCAGGGTCTGGGATCACCTGTACACCCTAGAGACCATCTGATGCCTTCATGTGGATTTGGAATAGGTGTCCCTTTCTCTGGGTGGACACAGCCCTGTACCAGGCTGCAGGCTTGACAAGTGGAGCCCAGACTGAATGTCAACCCCATTTGTCCCATCAGCTATGCACCCTGGGCAGTGAACAACCTCCCTGCCCTGATGTGCCAGACCTGAATTTCCCTTTTCCGAAAGAGCTGAAGCTTCGCCTGCCCACCCCCACCCAGGAGCTGCCGTGATCCCTGAGACAAGCCTGGGAAATCAGGGCATAAGCCTTCTTGCGTGAGGAAAGGGGAACCCGAGGCACCAAGATGTTGGGCATCTTGCTGAGGGTTCGCAGCTGGCCTGGAGCCGAGGCCCCTGACGGCGAACTGAAGTTCCTCCCACCCTCCTGCTGAGCAGCTTTTCTGACTTTGAAGCCAGACTTCGGAGTTCCCTTTTGGCTGAGGACTCCATCTGCATCTGCGTCAGTGGCAGCTGCAGAGAGATGATTCCTGGAGGGCATTCCTGGGAAACGGATGTCTTCCAGCAAATAGCTTGACAGCTGGGGAGGAGGGAGAGCCACAGCTGTGAGTCAGCACTTTTCTCCCCAGAGCCCGGCTCCACGTGACCTTCCTGCGAAGGTAGGGCCTGGGTCCTTCCCTGGCTGCTCCCCACTTCCCCCACCGCATATGACCCTGCTGAGCCATCTGTTTCCTGGAGTCTGAGTGCATACACAGCCACCGCATCTGCACACCCATGCCAGCTGCCAGGCCTTCCAGAAACAGCCTCGTGCCCAGTGGGGACGCCAGGCTGGTCTGCGAGTGGGGAAAGGGGAGGTATCTCCACTGAACCAGGGGGACCCTCCCCTCC